AAAACATTGCAAAACATTGCAAAACTATTTCGAACTCCACAGAAATCAAAGCTTAATGAGTCCTTGTAGCAAGAGCCGTCTGCGCTTTGACATTCACTGAGTGCTCACATCCTGCGTGCTCAACTTGAAACCAGCTTGAGAAATTCAATGTTTTGAGTCCTTCCTGGCATCTCTTCCGAAGACTTGCTCATTGCAACCAAATGATGAAATGAAATTGCAATCTGCCTCGCATATGAAGGGCAGGTTTGCGAACCTGGCATTGAAAAGCGTGGCAGCTCATTCAAAATGAGTTTTGACTTCACGTATTTCAAACCGCTTGCAGCTTCCAAACATCAAACCATACTTCGTGATTGTTGAACACAAACCCGAAACTTTTTTGTCAGCATTTCCATCTTCTGCCCCTCTGCGCTTGGCACAACCCAAGGCAAGAACAAAAATCTATTGGCATGACACTTTAAATCACTTTGTCCGAGGCCTCTTAGCCACGAGTCCATCTGCATGGTCAGCATCCCATTCGGATGGGAATTCAACTAACTGTTCATTGGATTCAGGCTCTATGCCTTCGTCCAAAAGTCCACCACCGTCTTCATCATGTCGAACGCACGTGGCCCCATCATCCTCGATCAGGAATTGAAAGAATTCTTCAATATCATCGTCTGGAACTTCAGTGGCAGGGTGTTCCACACACGTTTCAGGAACCAGCGTCGTTGCTTCCTCCACCCATGTTGCATCACCATCCTCATCAGGACCAACAGTGACAGTGCGAACTGAAAAGGCTCCAATGGGGCGCGCTTCACTCCCTGCGAACTCCGCCTCGCCAAACTTCGTCTGCATGGCCTTGCTGCCAATTCCAGCACTCTGCAATTTCGGAGGAGCTGCGCCTCCTGTCAACTTCTGGTTGAAGAGGGCGGTAACTGCCTCTGAGTTGGCATTACCAACCATTTCCTGGCAGGGAAGAAAACAACAGTGCCAGCGCAAACCCAACTCAATTTGAACACAGGGAAATGTCTCCCGAGCCGACGGGGCACCCTTGAAAAACAAAAGTGTTTGCGATATACATCCCTTAAAAAAAAAAATGAGCCAAAATATTTTCTTTGGCCCCGGGCAGGCCTGTTGCAAGGCTTGAACTGCCTTCAGACTGCGCTTGGCTGCCTTGGCATAGTTGCGGGCAACCCGTTGGGCTTCATACGCCTCGGCCAACATCGCATAGGCCATCTCCTGCACGTGGAGGTATAAAGATGAAACCGTGGAAACGCATGAAGAAATCAAAGGAAACTAGGCCAATTCAATGATCAGAACTCATGTTGGATTCAAAGCGACGAGAAATGGTAATTATATTTTGTGCGATGTAAAGTGTCACATATATATATATAGAAATCAGTCTAACAAATTCCTCAGCCTGTGCATGCAACGACTTCACACAAAACTGCTATATAAGTATACATCATCTGCTTCTGTGCTTTTATTCGGTTTTAAAACTAAACGCCCACTTCCACTTTGCGCCTGGTTAACCCCGCTACTGGAGCTGCTACTGGAGCTGCTACTGGAGCTTGAGGTCGCAGGCGTCCATGGTACCTCAATGTCAAAAACGTGAGAGCAACAAATCTCGCAGGTGTCCCTTAAACTTCATCAGGGACAAAAATAAAAAATTGGCATCACAACTTGAGCAGGAATGCATCTGGCACTTCCACGGCAGGTGGAGGCTTGTTTATGCCACGCTCTGCCCATGGGCACTTCGGCGGGGACGGCGGCCTAGGGCGCCTCTTAGGCAATATTTTTGGGGCCATCTTCAGTATGACCATATGGGCAACAACGTCTGCGGTTAGCGATGGATAAATATCAAAAGAAATGGCTTTAAAACTGCGGAAAATGCTCAACTCGAGAGTTCCAGGAGTGCAAACATGCCAGACAGGCGGGCTCAGAAAGTCGAGCTTTGCACTTCTGCAGTTTTCGGCCCTCGTCCTGGCCTGCAACGAAAATGTGCAGAACAGTAGTAAACAATCTGTGGCCGCAAAATGATTCATGTATGTATGTATGTATGTACGTATGCATATGAACGTATGCATATGAACTGAAACATATGCAAGCCTGCATGAGCATTTCACGGCCATGGCTGATCCCATCGACAGGCGTTTCAAATTGAAAGCAGAAAAATGTGTTTGATTGGCTCTCTTTGTACATGTTTAAGGTGACATGCAGGGAAAGTAAATGGGCAGAATTGGTGTCTGAGCCACGGGCATGCAGTTCATAATCACATTGCCTTTGGTTCGTGTTTTCCAAAAAAGAGCTTATACATCTGCGGGGCTGAAACCCGATTTTTGCACATGTCATGGCATGAACCGTGCATGTTTTATAAATGAGGCCGAAGCCCCTTTGTAAGGAATGACATGCATGCATGCACGTGCCCCGTGAAATCGTGAAAGCATGTTTTGAGGAAAAAACATGAAAAAACCATGAACCCCATTCCAACCCTCGTTTCGGATTTGTGAATTCAAGAAAACATTGGCTTGCGATTTGTTGGTTTTCGGTTTTGACGCTAAAAAAATGCTACTGATCAAATCCAAGCTGTATATAAGGTAGTCATAATCAAACCTCCCCGGCAACGCGCGCAAAGAAAATCAAAACACGATCAAACATGACCTGTACGCATGTTCTACAGCACGGAAATATGTCAAATCATCCATTCCTGGATGGATCATGCCGGTGCTCTATCCGAGTCGGGAGGGTGGGATGTGACACATGCACGATCATGCATGCACAGGCGTTTCTGTCTTATATATGTATATAGAAACAATACAACAATGCAGGGGCGTTTCTTTCTTGGAGAAACGCCTACATAACAGTGCACGGGCGTTTCTTTCTTAGAGAAACACCCTTGGGCGTTTGTTCTCATGGAAGAACACCCTGGGCGTAAAAGATACACCCAGACCCCAAGTTGGTACCTCCAGGCAGCACACCACGGTCACTCTCCGTGAGGAACTCCTGGAAGCTTGTTGCCTCCTGCCGAGGCCTCAAACTACCCTTCTTATTGTAATTGTGCCAGCTGCTGTAGCCAGAACATCATGATCAGAAATCAGAACCATCTTTTCCTAACCACATCCCTTTCTTCCAGGTAGGTCGATACTTGGATCCTTTCGGATCAAGTCCATAGGTCACCTGTCCAAAACAAGCGATTCTGTTGTGATAGGGTCGTCCATTCACAGCTTGGTATGGTGTGATCTTTGTGGTACTGTGAGTGAGATACCTGTTGTAGAGCCAAGTGGAGTGCATTGCCGCCCAGTAAAGAACTGCGTGTCCTCGTGGAATCTTGCACTTGATTGATTCCTCCAGTTGCACTACCAGTGTCTTCTGCAAATTGCGGACAGTCTGAATTGTTCGTTCAATAGCCTCCAGCACTGGCGCTTGTTTTGCCGCAGCCTCTTTGTAAGACTGAGCACCTGCTGGCTTTTCACCTTCAGAAACTGGGCGTCCTGCAGGCCAACCCTCAGCTTCTCAAGGTAGGCCACACAGCTATTAAGCTGCTCCAACATGGCGTTCCAGCAAGGACGGTGTGATCCCAAGCGTGCCCGAGCAGCTGTATGCATGAGAGAGCCGTGCCATGTCGCACTGGCATCTATAGGTCAACATGTTTCATGACACAGGGATGGGAACATCTCGTGTTGTCCAAGTTTCATGACACAGGGATGGGAACATCTCACAGAGGGATTGATGTACATGTCTTGTCATCCATGCCATCTGAAATGATAAGTGTTTCCTCACGAGTCCAACTGGACCTGTCCGACGTGTCCATTCAGAGAGCCGTGCTCTGTCGCACTGGCTGTTTTTCGTTGCACAGGCTTTGGATCACAGATTCGAGGCAATTACACACAGCGTTCATGCCATGGGGTCACGTCCCAGGAAAATTCCACATGCAACACTTGAGACAAGTATTGAATATGCAATACGTTCTTGAGGCAACTCTATGGTATGGGACCCCCCTGCAGGAGCTTTCTGTAGCCTCCACTTTCAAAAACCGACATGGCTCTGATGAGGTCAATTGAGACAAGTTTTGAATATATATATATATGTATGTAAATATAATGTTGCAACTCTGTGGATATGTTCTTTAAAGAAGCCGCAAAGGCATGGGAGCCTCATGACCGCATTCCAGTATACAGAAAGATTAAGCCTCTCACCGGCTAGAAAGATGCAGCCTCTCACGGTTCCTGACCATTGCATTGGTGCAGGGGATTCTCATAGTCGACTTTCGTGTTGAAGTGGATGGCAGGCAGGGAGGGAGCCAACCTGCGATGGAAAGTCACCTTCCTCTGTTGCATCAGAACGTCCTTGATGATGGCCAGCAGATCCACGATGCGCAGGCTTTGAGTCCTGTGAACCAGCGTCGCCCCCAGGTGCTTTCCCGCCATCGGAGGCCTAACATGCGAATGACCGCATGTGGGAGATTGAGAAAATGTTTAATACAGATTTTGGACATGAGAACCTGTGGCAAGGCACGGTTCACCAAATCACTTAACATACAAATGATTCACATGTCTGGTGTATATATATATATATGTACCTACTGCAACAATAACCTACTTTTTTATGGTTGAATATAAGAAATCTGGTTATTTTGATGTACCCCAAAAAAACATGTTTCTTAAAAAACAACTATTTTTTTTTTAATACCCCTGGTTTATATAACATTATATAACTATAATAACCTATTGTTTCAGTAGGCATCCACTTCCCAGGGTCCAACGGTGGTGAATGCAACCTTCAGCTGAAATCGGATCAATACATTGAATGTGCCATTCATAAATTCTATGGAAATAACCACACATGATCAAACAATCCAGTAGCGGGGAGATTCCCTGCAAGGACAATGGGAAACCAAATCAATCCCCAAAGATGGTAAACCATTGATGCAATAGATGTTTCACTGTTTCAATGATATGATAGATTTTTTTTTCAGCCATTATAATTGTCATAAATTTACCTTGGCCTTCCCGTGCTTGGCCATGCAATGCTGGATCTATTTGATCTACTTGGTCACCATTGCTGCGCTGGCCGGGCTCCCCATTTTTAGCAGCTCGGGTGAGTCGATGGTCGAAGTGTGCGATTTGACACCTCAGTTGGGTTTTGATGAGGACATCAACCTTCAAACAAAATATATCTGTGAAACACATAAAATTGAACGATGTGGACTGTTTATACTATTTTATACTTAAACTATTTTGATTCAATGGGTTCCATGACATTGATATTTTCTAACCAAAGCATTTGGGATCCAGCAGCCTAGTGATCTTGTGTTGGCCCAGGGGCCACATGGAGCGCACCTCTAAATGTCAGTGTTTGGGCTTGGCCGTGGAATGGGAAAAGATCGATAGCTTACGTGAACGGATCAGAAATGACAAGAAGATCCTTCTACATGAGGTGGGTGAATCGTTTTGCGTGCCTCACAGGCCCAACGCAGTGCGGAACGCCATGGTTTTGGAACCCCTCTTGGCCCGTCTGGGGAAAACCAAAGATTGGAAGTTGCCGCACCTAGATGACCTTCAGATCGAAGTTCGTACATTGTACGAAAAATCTGGTCTCAACCCAGGTGAAAAGGGTCCCTATCGGACCACCGTTGAACTTAAGAAACTAGCAGGTCTGGTTTCTCGCAAGCTCAAAAAAAAGGAGGTGACAAAGGAAAGGGTACAGTCCAAAACATTTAGTTTTTCTCATTTGCTCTACTTCATTTTTGTTCAGTCATGATCTCCAAGATACAACATTTAGCAGTCACTGATCCCAAATATTGTAAAAAATCCTGAACAAGAAAAAAATAATTCAAGTATAAGATCGTCCACTCATATTTTGGTGTATTTGGGGGTTGATATCCGTCCTCTTACACTTTCCTTTACCAATCCCCTGAAAGGATGCTGGATTCCATGAGCTGTTGCTGGTTTTCGACCCTTCCTGCCAGGACTGGGCCAAACGCCGCCAGGTGAAGTTCACCCAGTAAAAACAACTTATATTTTTGGAATTTGATTTAGATGTAAAAGAGATCCAACAGTTCAAACTTCAAACATAATTTAAATAGAATATGACATATTCATTCGACGTAATATCTGATATTACATGATATTATATGATAACATCTGAAAATATCTGATAGTATATGATCATTCATATATAACCCCCTGTCAATTAAGGGGTGGGGCTGTGCAACCATTCTGTAGTGAAGAAACGGCTTGCATAGCCTCAAGTTCTACTAAATGGATGCGCATGCATGATCGAATTTCACTACTAAATGTGGGCCCCTGATTCAGCTGAAGCGCAAAATTTGGATATATTTTCAGAATGTCTTAAGACACCAACATGACTCGACCAAACACCCTGTTCCATTTAGTAGAGGTACTCATTTGAGCACAAGTTGCGGGACCAACATCACTCGACCAAAATCCCAAAGCCATTTAGTAGAGAAATGCACGGGGTCCATTTAGTAGAGAAAACAACATGAAACACATATGACTGATCCCATGACCATCCATCTAGTAGAGGCAGTACTTGGCTAAACAGGGGAAATCTTGACAGACTTTGGACATTTTGGGACTACAAAATGATGTTCCATAGCACGTAAGGGATAATAGGGCACACAAGGATGCAACAGGGCTTTGTTTGAAACAATTCTAGATAGATTGATCCCATGAGCATCCATTTAGTAAGCACCCGACGAGCAAGAAACACCCAAGCGAGGGATTTGGCTGCCCCCAAAAAAGGCAAAAAAAAACCAAACACGAAAGGTAGCACCCGACGAGCAAGAAACACCCAAGCGAGGGATTTGGCATCGCCCCCAAAAAAGGCAAGGCAACACTTGGCTCACAAGGATGCAACAGGGCTTTGCTTCAAACAGTTCTAGATAGACTGATCCCATGACCATCCATTTAGTAAGCACCCGACGAGCAAAAAACACCCAAGCGAGGGATTTGGCATCGCGCCCAAAAAAGGCCAAAAAAGAACCCAAACACGAAAGGCAGCACCCGACGAGCAAGAAACACCCAAGTGAGGGATTTGGCATCGCCCACAAAAAAGGCAACAAAAGAACCCAAGCACGAAAGGCAGCACCCGACGAGCAAGAAACACCCAAGCGAAGGATTTGGTATCGCCCCCCAAAAAAGGCAAAAAAAAAACACGAAAGGCAACACCCGACGAGCAAGAAACACCCAAGCGAGGGATTTGGCATCGCCCCCAAAAAAGGCAAGGCAGCACTTGGTTAGACAGGGGAAATCTTGATAGAATTTAGACATTTTGGGACTACAAAATGGTGTTCCATAACACGTAAGGGATAATAGGGCACACACGAATGCAACAGGGCTTTGTTTGAAACAGTTCTAGATAGACTGATCCCATGACCACCCATTTAGTAGAGGCAGCACTTGGCTAGACTGGAGGCGGCATAGTAGGATACAGCAAGGATGCTATCTTTGTCCAACTTCTGTTGTTTCATATCGTGGTATACCCGATCATGTTAATTTACTTCAACCCAGGAATATCTTTGATATTCATTGGTATTCTAAAACTTATATTTATTTTTCAAATTTCTTATGTTTTTGAGCATCTATTATCATATACTATCTGGATTTACGTGATTCATCCTGATGGACATGGATTAGTTAAACGACTATCGGGGGCAACGGAATGGGAATCTCTACTAAATGGTTTTTCAGTTTTGTCTCATTTCATTGTGACCGTTTTATGAATTCTACTTCGCAACCTCTACAAAATGGTTCCTGTGATTTTTCAACTTTTTTTAAACATCTCTACTAAATGGTTTTACCCAAAAAACAACATTTGACATCATATGATTAACATATCATTTTTACCTCTCTACTAAATGTGGATCATGGGTCTAGAGATGTTTACTTATTTTTTTTTTGAAAAATCATGATTCTCTACTAAATGGTTTCTAGAAATTTCACACTAAATTTTTGGTTCACTTTCCGGGACCTAGGTCATAGCATTTAGTAGTGGAAATTGGCAGGAGGATTCATATATAATATACCCTTCCTGTAGGAGACCATCAACCAATATTTGGAGTCTTGCAAGCGCAAACCGACTCCTGCGCAATCACCTGATGAAGATGAAGATGACGATCATGGTGATGATGATGAAGATACCAACCGGGAGTTCGCTGAGTTCAAACGATGGCTTGATTCAACCAACCCTTCTTCGCAGTCAAAAGCGGTTGCTGCTGATCCCAAGCTTCTGGCTTTGCCTGCAGCTCCTACTTCGATTCCTTGCAAACCTCTCAGAACCTCATTGTGGATAATTATTTATTTTGGTGCTATGATTTGATATGATGTTGAACCCAAATCCATTTACAATAGAATATGAATGGTTGTTGATCAAAATTCCTTTATCCCGGAACGGCCATTCTTCGCGAATAAAAAAAATACTTTCGCGAAACTTTCGCGAACTCCATGTTTATCTTTCGCGGGGCCCATGTTGGCCAACAACACCTCTTATGAAGATTCGTTCGCCGCCTGCCAAATTACGCCAGGGAATCACGGATCACTTCTTGGTAGCCTTTTAAACATGCAGCTAGCATCACGGAATCCCTTCTCAGGACAGATTTTTTTGCAAAGCTTACTGGCCCACCCCCTTCAACATGCACTTTGACTTCCGCCCGCTCTTTCGCATAACTTTCGCGGAACTTTCGCGAAAATATCCCTATTCACAGACCCGGCCATCAGCAGGGGGTGCACTGAAGGAAAAGCGAAGACCAGGGGCCTTGGTGTTTGGCTCTCGCAAAGCCTCACTTTTGGAAACTTGGCTATTGCTACTCGCATTCTCTGGTGCCCTTCTCCTGGCGGACCCCGGGCGGCATGGGTGGCAGCCCTTTACATACAATGATTATAATACCGAACTTTCGCGAAACTTTCGCGAAACTTTCGCGAAATCAAATTTTACTTTCGCGAGCTCGAAAAAAAACTTTCGCGAGGGTTTCCAACATAACATGCACGGCTTTCGCAATTAAAACTCCTTACAAGGACCTTTAGATCGATCACCGAATCTATTTGATCTGCACACATCCAGAAAAATATCTTTAGGTACCCTCTTCCCTTTGTTTTGGCCCAGGCGCTGAAGATGACATGCATCGCCGGCAGGAACTTCGCGAGCTGATCGCAAAGAAGAAGGCAGAGCTGCTTCAGCAAGCCGCAGCAAAGAAGTCCACGGAGACGCTTATCTTAGTTGAGCGCATCGGGGGCTGATGATTGAACAACTGTGTTGGTGGAAAATCGCCATTGATGTCCAATGTGTCCAATGAAATTCTTTCCAATCATGTCCAATTGGTTCAAATATGTTCAAATCTTTACTCTGATGTGTTATACCTTCACACCCCATTGTTTTTCATTACAGGTAATCCTGCAAAGTATGCCCATGCAGGAATGGTGGAGATCTTGGTTCCAAGTCAGAGGATGCACCTGATAAACCAGCTCCTACTTCCCATGAGAAAGCTGCAGCTCCTGCTAAAGGTGCTGGTTGGAAAGGGATGGGTCTTGTTTCTATTTTTAGATTAGGCGGGTTGTTCTAGCATCTGGGACATTGATATGATAGGGATATGAATTATTTATAGAATTTATAGAAACAGTATAAAGCAAAAACCATTAAAATTGTATGCAGAACATTGTTCATCACCATTTTTTTACTGTTGTGCCCATGAATAGCCGTGGGTGTGCTCATGGTTTTCTTCTTTCCACATTTGCATGTGTCAAAGCCTGACCTTGCAGGTTTCAAACCACTTCCTGATGCACCAGCACTTGACAACGCCGAGACCCAGCCAATGGTGGATGAGTCGCAGATTGCAGCTGCAGCCGCCGCTGCGTTTTCTTTGGCTATGCCCACTACCAGTAGTGTGCCAAGTCACGAACCTTTGAACCATGAAAATCCTCCTGGTCTGGAGGTTCGGGTTCGGTTGGTACTTTTGTCAACAATGGGCCAAGTTGCATATTGGTTTCGAAAAAACATATGCAAGCTTGTGACATTGCCCATTTTAGATTTGAAGTTAATTCATTTGATCTGCACATCAAGTGACGCCGGTCCACATGAACTGAGCACATGAATCTTTTTTGCATTGGTTTTGCCCGGTACCATGTGCACCTCATCTCATCCCAAATTTGGCCCTTCCAGGTGCCGCCAGTACTCACACGTCGTGACCAGTTGAAGCTGAAAGAGGAAAAGGAACGTGCCAGGAAGGAGAAGAGCGTGGCCAAAGAGAATGCGAAGGACGACAAGATCCAGAAGGGTGAAGTGGTTAAAAAAAAGACGAGGTAGAAAGGCAAAGGCAAGTGAACCTGAGATGGAGGAGCCAGAGCCCGGTGTCCGAGACGGCCCCCAAAGCCAGTGCCAAAAGGAAGCCTCGGGCCAAGAAACTTTCCAAGTTGGATGAGAACGCAGCTGAGGGTGATGAGTCAGTGAAGCCAATTGCTGAGCCTGAGGCTGTGGAGCCCGCATTGGGTGACACTCATGATGTGCCTGAGAAAACCCGAAAGGGAGGAGCAAAGGCAAAGGCAAAGGCGAAAGCAAAGTCTGAACAGAAAAAAGAGCCAAAGAAGAAAGCAAAGGCAAAGGCAAAGGCCAAGTCTCGAGGCCACCAGGATGAATGCAGAGAGTGGAAATGAGCAGGATGAAGAGAACATCAAAACGCCCAAGAAAATGCTGTTTCAGTCTGACGAGGAGGACGGTGATGAGAAGTGCAAGGCTGGAGATTGCAAAGAAGACCGAATTGCTGATGCCAAGACTGGGGAATTGAAAAAACTGTCCGAGATCTACAACGAGGATGCCCCCAAGCAGTGGGACAAGTCCAAGCCCCAGAAGAGGTTGAAGTCGGCTTCCGCAGCTTCTACTTTGCCTGCAGTTTCTTCGGCTGCTACATGTCCTGACCAAGATGATTCCCAGGGCCCAAAGAAGCCAGCGGCCAAGCGCGCATCTAGGAAGAAAGACGCTAAGAATCAGTCCAAGAGCTGTCGCCCTTTGCCAAGAATGAGTCCAAGCGTCGCAAGAAGACTGCTAGCAAGGATGAGACACGCATCATGCAGGGTGGCCCTGAGGCCTGTCCACAAGTTCAAGGCATTTGCATTCAACACATGAAAGCCGTGCAGGGCTTGACCTATGATGAGATGAAGGACTACCTCGCCGATTCCATTGAGAAGGACTTTTTCAACTTCAAGCTCGACCCCTACAAGACCAGGTCAGCATGTGGTCTCCAGGCCCATTTGGTGCGCAAGGACAAGAAGACTGAGATCGCCTACTTTAGGTCGTTCTGGCACTGGGCCAGGCTGGAACGAAAGCATGGTGCTTTCCTATGTCTCTTGCTCCCTGCTGGTTTCTTGGCTGGGCTTTCAACTATAAATTGGGTACTCTGGGAAATTCATTCACACCTAGCTTTTTCATTTCCTGAAACATGTTTTTCTTTCTGGAGGGATCCATTTCTTGAAATGAAAGCCCGACAGTTAGTTGGAGCTGCATTGCACTTTGACCCAGGCTGGTTGGCTGGAGTCGTTGACGACAGATGACCGTGAGCGCATCGTGCAGAATTGGACTGACCCTATGGGTGAGCTCCAGCAAAAGATCATGTTTTGCAAGTACAATGGGAATGTGGCAGCATCCATGGTTCCCAAAAAGAAATAGATATCGAAATCCTTAGGGCCATAGATTTGGCTTACATGTGCTGTGGATTCGTTGGTGAAATCTTGGTGACAATTCTGAATGGTCTGAATGGATTTCAGGTGGTTCGACAGTACTTATTATCTTATTCTCTAGATTGATGTTTCGAATATGTTACTGTTAGAATCATTGGTCAATCCCATCCTTGTTGTAGATAGCAAAGCCGAGGTTCAGTCTGCAGCCCACAAAGGAGTGTAGGTTGTCAGGGCGATCGCTTTGCCTTAGCTTGGATGGCATGGGACAATCTGCATGGGCACGTATCGCTGTGGTAACGCCACAACCGTTTGAAGTAGTTCCAAATAAAAACAATCACCAAAAAACACAGGTTCCATATTACAAACCCAAGACTGTCTGGAACGTATTTTCCCCATGTTCATTAATTTTAATGCAAACTACCACTGTTCTTTTGAAACAGTCTGTAGTGATAGACACTGAAACCATCTGAAACAGTATTTATTTGAAACCCTGCCCCTGCACCGGTACTGCCTGCAGATTGTATATAGCTGGCATGGCCCATGTTCATTTGCACATTCAGTAGTGTTAGAGTGGGGGCCGCTTCCAAGATGGCATCGTCGATCTTTTGGCGTTGGGGAAAACCTCAAAATGTCCTGCTGGTGGAAAATGCAGGGTGTGATTTCCCTAGCATTGTTCTTTGCATTTTCTTCGCTAACATGATGACCATGGTTGTGTTATCAAAAGAGGGTTCATCATATGCCCAAATCTCATTAACATTACCAAGAATTCTCAAGTATGTTCATCAGCACTTCGTCTTATTCATCCCATGTTTCCCCATTTCTCAAGATCCACTACCACCGAGTTGCAACCCTTCCAAGTTTCATCGCAGCCACCACCAAGGTCGGACACCAGCTCACAATGCCTTCGCTGAGAGGCAACCGTTGGGCTGTGAAGTTGGGATTGCTTGAGGATGACTCAAGTGAACTCGCCATGTTTTAAGGGACCAAAGGGTGGCAACTTGGAAACAAATTACAATCTTGACCTGAGATTGGGTTGGACTTTTTCTTTGTGTTGCACTAGATGCACATGCATGAAACACATTATCATTGAGCCAGCGCATTCCGAAAAGGAATGGTTCAAGTGTGGCCCCTCAAAAAAAAACATCATATAACATCATGGTTTGGCAGTGGAATAATCGAGAAAGTTTGATCCATGAATGGCAACTTGATGTTGCAGCTGTGTTGCGGAAACATCGTCTGAGTGCCGCCTCGTCTGAAACAGCAGCCTCAAGGTGCAGACTGGAGCCCAGTGTTGGAATTATTGTTCGGATTGGCATTTGTTGGTCCCAAAGTGAAATGTATATATGCATACAATTTCAACATATAAGCACCTTGCACATAGACTATGTGCATGTGCATGTGCATGCGTACATGTGCACATATAGATCGATGCATGCATGTCTGCACAATATTTACAGAACACAAGCAGGATATAACAGGATTGTATTTGTTTCGTTTGATTGTAGATATTAACCTACTTCACAAGTCTGGGGGGTTCTGGCAATGGCGTGGTCCCTGCAATTCGTTGACAATTTGTGTTGGCGTCTCAAAGCTTTGGGAGCTCCCAAAGTGCCATGGTTGCAAATCAGCTTGCTAATTGGGGGATGCTTCAGGAAATGTTAGCATGATATATGATAGATGTTTTTGATGTTCTCCGTAATAGCTTTTCAAACAGGTTGGCACAACTTGACACGTGTGCTCAGTGATGCTGACTGGGATCGAGCAAAGGTACTGGTGTTTGCAACTCTTTTGACGATCTGGATCTGGACTGACATTCCAAAATCAAGTTGGCAGGACAGCTGACTTTCATGGTTCTTTGATTTTTGAATCACGATTCGAATTACACATGCAACACTTAAGTGTGAATTTACACCTCAACACCTTAACAGACTACTACCACCACCACCATTACCAACACCTTAAAACTTTATATAGTTAAATGTATCTAGTTCATTGGCCGTTGCAGGACAATTCTGTGTTCTCCTTTGTTGAGACCTTCGCAGGAGAGGCCCAGGCTACCATGGCATTCCGAAGCAGTGATTTCAGGTCTGCACGGCTAGATCTTAAATACATGAGTGCTGAAGCTGACCGGTGCAACCCCATGGACCTTTGCACACCACCTGGATTTGCGGAGCTAGACTAAAGAAAACACATGGTTGACCTTTTCCCAATTAAACATTATCATCAAAACCATACAGTTTAGCACTGTTTATGTTCTTGTGGTTACTTGTTTCCCAATACTTTTCTCTGGTTCCATCAGATTCGCAGCTCAGGACAGCATTGGCAATCATTTTGCGAGGAGATGTGGATAAGGGCTGGTGGAATCACTACGGGTTGAAATGTGCTTCATGGACAGCTGTCAATTCCGGTACCAGTGGTAGGTCACCTTGCAGTAGCATTGGAAACATTGAACGTGCTTCGGATTGCTTCGGTACGTGAAGCCAATTGCCTTGGGAGCCGGATCCTTGTATAAACATGTCGATATACATTTTACATCAATTTACATGTTTCATTTAAGAAAGCCACCAAGTTCAAACAATTTCGATTCTAACCTTAAAAATCATTACACGATCGCTTCTTCACCTCTCTGGGTTCCTGCAATGAGGATGCTACTTTTGATGATGGTAGCAGTTTGTCTCAATGCCGTGATTACCCTGGAACAACCCTATTCGTCCTTCTTTGAGTTCTACCCTAGATTCCGGGACTTTAGTCGGATGTTGCAGCATACCGGTGGACCTCATGCAGTACCTTGACCATGAGTTTCAAAGCGGTAGCCTGATTTTTTGGAAATTTTCAAAGGCTCACCAGGCCACCTTCCATGTAAGTTTCCCATTTGGAACATTATATATTCGTTGCCAGCTGTGATAACCTTGACTCTAGCATCATTTTTGGGATGGTACACATGTCATTATGTTGGAATATTCCGGCATGCATCACTTCACCAGTTTTTGGTGTACATGTTGCAGACAACAAGAAAAGACATCATTGTTTTGGGGTAGATTACTGTTGGCACATCTGGTTTTGGATATACATAAGTCTGTTGGTTTACCATATTCGACCCAGCATCTTTCACCGAGTACCAGATCATATGGCATATGGTATGACACACATGCGGCTGTCCCAGGTCCACAATACCAGCCGGTACATGCTGCACTACGGTGGACCGACACCCAAACGACATTATGCGTTTGCCAATACTCACCATATTGACAAGTTGAACCTTGGTCAGTTGAGGGGATGGATTCAAAAGAAGGAAGCGTTGACAGAGCTGGGTCAAACCTATGACTTGGTGGACAAGTATGTAGATGCTTCTGGACAACCCCGTTGGAAAGGCAACAAGCGCCTACGCTCCTCCGAGCCCCAACCCTATTTTTTCAAAGCATATAACATTGAATCAGTACAAATGATGTCCAGTTCAATTATTTTCTTTCGGTTGCATTCAGCAATAATATGCAATCAACATTTCATGGCAAAGGGAATCTGAAACCTTCAACAATCATGTTGGGCGGTTTATATTTTAGAACTTCATGATATTTAATTCTGATCATGCTGGATTCATGAGAAGCAGTGCCGAAACTTGAACTTTGTGGTTTCCCATAACCAGGTCAAGTCACCCTCTGCTTTGGCCCAGGTGCTACCCACAAAAGTTCGGGCAGAAGCTCGTGGAGATGTTCTACCGGATGATCAAGGAGAAGCGTGGGATGCCAGAACTTCCAGAACATGTCCCCAGTGCGGCGGAAACTTTCGCCAGCATGTCGTTTGATGACATGTGGCAAGAAGCATTTATGGCTGATGTTTGCCATTACCTTAGGGCCTTAGGGGTGGTGTTTATCTAAAGGTTCCCCCGTCCTTTTTGGGCTTGCTGCCAAAAAGGCTCTAAGTCCACTAGCGCCAGTTTGTGCATTAGCGGGTGTTGCTGTTCAGCCGACAACCAAAAAATGGAATGGTTTGACCACCCAAGTTAAAAATAACGGATCTATGTTGGACAATCAAAAAAAACTAATTACACATAATCCCCCGTAATCCGTAATCACCCGTAACGGCCCGTAATCTACCGCTGTTGTTTGAACAAAATTACCCATAATTACCCGTAACCAATACACAAAAAGTTCGTTTTTTTTTTGAACGTAACCGTAACAGGCCATAATGACCACAACTTTACCCGTAACCACAAATGAAAAAACAAGGTGGGCCAGAGAACCCAAAAGCAACGCGGCACACAGCACGCCTTTTCTTGAAAATCTTGGGGTGTGGCCAGCTGTGCTCTGCACGAAATCGACGTAAGATCTTTACTTAAACATCGTGCGCGCTGATGGTATCAGGGGCCACGATTCACCACAGCATGCTGTGTCAGCTACGCCTACAGTCTTCTAGTCGCTATTTCTGTTAATGCAATTAACTCTATCCCATCTGTCTAGTCGCTATCTATTTCTGCGTTCTCGTTTAGTTTGCTTCGCCGCAGAGGGAGCGAGCACGAAGCGTGGACGGACAGAACGAAATGAAAATTAAACGACAGAGGGAGCTGACCAAAAGAGCATGAAAACGAAGATATATATGAAGGTGACAGATGGCAAATGATCATGAAAAATGAGACATGATAAAAGATGGGTAAAGACTTCTCTGTACAAAAGCTTCTTTGCATAAAAGCTTCTGCAAGTAAAAGCTTCTGTGGGCAAGAACTTCTCTGTGTAAAGGTTTTTGGTGTAAAAGCTCTTGTGTGTAAAATCTTCTGTGTAAAACGCGCTCTGTGTGTAAAAGTTTCTGTTTGCGAAAGTTTCTTTGCGTACCAGCTTCTGTCTGTAAAAGCTCCTCTGTGTTAAGGTTTTGTTTGTGTAAAGCTTCTGTGTGCAAAAGCTTCTCTGTGTAAAAGACTTCTCTGTGTCAAAGCCTCTGAGTGTACAAGCTTCTCTGTGTAAAAGTTCCTCTGTGTAAAAGCTCCTCTGTGAAAAAGCCGCTCTGTGTAAAAGGCTTCTGTGTGTAAAAGCCTCTGTGTGTGCAAGCTTCTCTGTGTCAAGACTTCTTTGTGTAAAGATTTCTCTGTGTAAAAACTACTCTGTGTAAACGCTTCCGTGTAAACTCTTTCCTGTGTAAACGCCTCCGTGTGTAAAGACTTCTCTGTGTAAACCCGTCTGTGTGTAAAAGCTCCTTTGTTTAAAGGTTTTTTTTGTGTTAAAAGCTTCTGTGTGTAAAACCTTCTGTGTGTAAAAGTTTCTGTGTGTAAAAGCTTCTGTGTGTAAAGGTTTCTGTGTGTAAAAGCTTCTGTGTATTAAAAAAACCTTATGTAAAAGCTTCTGTGTAAAAAAGCCCCCTGTGTGTACAAGCTTCGCTGCGTAAAAGCTGCTCTGTGTAAAAAATCTGTGCGCCGTAAAGTTGTCTGTTTGTAAAACCTCCTGTGTGTGTGTGAAAGCGTCTGTGTGTACAAGATTCTGTGTGCAAAAGCTCCTCTGTGCAAAGACTTCTCTGTGTACAAAGCTTCTGTGTGTGAAAGTTTCTGTGTGTAAAAGCTTTCCTGTGTAAAAATTTTCTTGTGCAAAAGCTCCTGTGTGAAAAACTTCTCTGTGTAAAGGCTTTTTTGTGTAAAAGCTTCTGTGTGTACAAGCTGCTCTGTGTTAAAGTTTCTGTGCGCCGAAAGAACGTCTATCTGTAACACCTTCTGCGTGTAAATCTCGTTTGTGTAAGGACTTCTCTCGTAAAAGCTCCTCTGTGTCAAGACTTCTTTGTGCGAAAGGCTTCTCTCTGTAAAAGCCTTTGTGTGTACAGGCTTCTCTGTCTCAAGACTTCTCTGTGTAAAGACTTCTGTGTGTAAAAGCTACTCTGTGCAAAAAAGCTTCTGTGCGTAAAGGCTTCTGTGTCAAGACTCCTCTGTGTCTCTGTAAACGCGTCTGTGTGTCAAAGTTTCTGTGTAAAGGCTTTTTTTGTGTAAAAGCTTCTCTGTGCATGTCCCATTTTTCAGCCTTTGCAAACCGTTTGACCGGTCTTGGGACCATTTGACCAGCCTTGGGTCCACAATTTTTTCAGGCCAATCGCAATGATGGCATTTGTCCTGAAAAAACCCGTGCCAACAGCTCTGCCGCAAACTATTTTCAAGGTTTCCTATCCGTCCAGCATGTTGTCTCGCTCCCTCCAGCGAAGCTCTCCGCAAGCTATTTCCACGGTTTTGTCCCGTCCAGCATGCTGTCTCGCTCCCTCCCAGCAAGGCTCTCCGCAAGCTATTTCCACGGTTTCCTCTCCGTCCAGCACGCTGTCTCGCTCCCTTCCAGCGAAGCTCTCCGCTAGCTATTTCCACGGTTTCCTGTCCATCCAGCATGCTGTCTCCCTCCCTCCCAGCGACGCTCTCCGCAACCTATTTGCACGGTTTCCTCTCCGTCCAGCACGCTGTCTCGCTCCCGCCCAGCGAAGCTCTCCGCAAGCTATTTGCACGGTTTCCTCTCCGTCCAGCATGCTATCTCGCTTCCTCCCGGCGAAGCTCTCCGCAACCTATTTGCACGGTTTCCTCTCCGTCCAGCATGCTGTCTCGCTCCCTCCCAGCGAAGCTCTCCTTAACCTATTTCCACGGTTTCCTCTCCGTCCAGGATGCTGTCTCGCTCCCTCCCAGCAAAGCTTTCCGCAAACTATTTGCACGGTTTTCTCTCCGTCCAGCATGCTGTCTCGCTCCCTCCCAGCGAAGCTTTCCGCAAGCTGTCTCGCTCCCTCCCAGCTCAGCAAGCTATTTCCACGGTTTCCTATCCGTCCAGCATGTTATCTCGCTCCCTCCCAGCGAAACTCTCCGCAAGCTATTTTCACACTTTCCTCCGTGCAGCATGCTGTCTCCCTCCCTCCCAGTGAAGCTCTCCGCAACCTATTTGCACGGTTTCTTCTCCGTCCAACATGCTGTCTCGCTCCCTCCCAGCGGACTTTGCCCAATCTATTTCCACGGTTTTCTCTCCGTCCAGCATGCTGTCTCGCTCCCTCCCAGTGGAGCTCTCCGCAAGCTATTTTCACGGTTTCCTCTCCGTCCAGCATGCTGTCTCGCTCCCTCCCAGCGAAGCTCTCCGCAAGCTATTTGGACGGTTTCCTCTCCGTCCAGCATGCTATCTCGCTTCCTCCCAGCGAAGCTCTCCGAAACTATTTCCACGGTTTCCCATCCGTCCAGTTGTCTCGTTCCCTTCCAGCGAAGCTCCCCGCAAGCTATTTGCACGGTTTCCTCTCCGTCCAGCATGCTGTCTCATCCTCTCGCGCTTCCTCCCAGCAAAGCTCTCCGCAAGCTATTTCCACAGTTTTCGTCTCCGTGCAGCATGCTGTCTTGCTCCCTCCCAGCGAAGTTTCCTCAAGCTATTTCCACGGCATCATCCCGTCCAGCATGCTGTCTCGCTCCCTTCAAGCGCAACTTTCCGCAAGCTATTTGCACGCTTTCTTCTCCGTCCAGCATGCTGTCTCGCTCCCTCCCACCGAAGTTTCCCCAAGCTATTTCCACGGTTTTGTCCCGTCCAGCATGCTGTCGCGCTTCCTCCCAGCACAGCTTTCCGTCCAGCATGCTGTCTCGCTCCCATCCAGCGCAGTTTCCCCAAGCTATTTTCCACGGTTTTGTCCCGTCCAGCATGCTGTCTCGCTCCCTCCCCGCGCAGTTTCCCGAAGCTATTTCCACGGTTTTGTCCCGTCCAGCATCCGGTCTCGCTCCCTCCCAGCGAAGTTTCCCCAAGCTATTTTCCACGGTTTTGTCCCGTCCAGCATCCTGTCTCGCTCCCTCCCAGCGAAGTTTCCCCAAGCTATTTCCACGGCTTCATCCCGTCCAGCATCCAATCTCGCTCCTTCCCAGCGAAGTTTCCCCAAGCTATTTCCACGGCTTCATCCCGTCCAGCATCCGGTCTCGCTCCCTCCCAGCGCAGTTTCCCCAAGCTATTTCCACGGCTTCATCCCGTCGAGCATCCGGTCTCGCTCCCTCCCAGCGAAGTTTCCCCAAGCTATTTCCACGGCTTCATCCCGTCCAGCATCCGGTCTCGCTCCTTCCCAGCGAAGTTTCCCCAAGCTATTTCCACGGCTTCATCCCGTCCAGCATCCGGTCTCGTTCCCTCCCAGCGAAGTTTCCCCAAGCTATTTCCACGGCTTCATCCCGCCGAGCATCCGGTCTCGCTCCCTCCCAGCGAAGTTTCCCCAAGCTATTTCCACGGCTTCATCCCGTCCAGCATCCGGTCTCGCTCCTTCCCAGTGCAGTTTCCCCAAGCTATTTGCACGGCTTCATCCCGTCCAGCATCCGGTCTCGCTCCCTCCCAGCGAAGTTTCCCCAAGCTATTTCCACGGCTTCATCCCGTCCAGCATCCGGTCTCGCTCCTCTGGGGTGGATTTAGTAAGGTTCTTTGCGCTGATTGGTGGTGCTTCTATGTTTTAAGACATGGTTATAGAGTTGGTTTTTAACATATGTTACAAGTCATTCAGGGATATGTATGTGTTGCCCAAAACTCTCTTGATTTAACATATTGGAGAAAACGTATTGCTTCAAACATGTTTGTCTTGTTTAGATGTTACTGTTTCCATGATCGACTCATGTAAATTCATATGTCACATGCCTTGCCGAAGGCTAAACCCTCCTGAGCAAAGATCATTTACCAGCGTTTCCATAATGAATTCAGATTTCCTGTCCTGGCCAAGGAGGTACACCTTCCTGAGCAAGGATTTCATTCACAAGTTTTCATTATCACACCTCCTGACCAGGACCAAGGAGGTGCACGCAACAATCATTGACATGTTTTCATTATCCATCAGTGTCCTGACCAAGGAGGTGCACCCTCCTGAGCAAGGATCATTGACATTCATCATATAAGCTTCCTTGGCCAAGGAGGTACACACTCCTGAGAAAAGT